CCTGAAAGGGAAGAAGAAATGTAGGCTATCTGGAGACCTGGGACACAAGTGGGTGGGGAGGACAGAATATGTAGGATGAGCTCAGTGTTCTGAGTTTTATTCTCTCTGATGTGTTGTTGGCCTATTTTGCAACCAAGCCCTGGATTCTTTCCAATTAAAGAATCCTGCTCTACACAATGACCTCACTTTGTTTTTCTATTTTCCTAATGCACCAACTTTCCCTAAACAGCTGGTATGTGGCTCAGTGATCACTGAGCCCTTTCAGAGTACACAGAGCAATGGCTGCTCTTTAAATACCATATCAATAAAGATAAGAGTCCTCTCTACAATATGCTGTGCCTGTTTCTCAGTTATTCAGTCTCAAACCATAAAGTTTTAGGCAAGAGTCAGATACATGTTTCCCATGCATGCTCTCCTGCTGGTCTGCGGGCAGGACCAGTGCCCATTCTGACAAAACTATCCCTCTTCAGTAGTGAAATGAGACAAACAGACATAATGTAGCGATTTTTTGAAAAAGCTAAATCTATACAAATTATAGGTCCGTGTTTATTCTGAGATCATATCCTTCCTACATTTAGCTATTAAATTAAAGATCCTCTTCTTATAAAATGATGGGGACAGCAAAGTTAGTAATGTTCTTATTTGGAAAAAAGAGAACATGGCAATGCTATTGGTCTCCCTGTCCTTGATTGTTTTTTTCAATTTTTACTGCTCCAGCATAAAATCTCAGTCTGGGATGTACTCTCCCTTAGAAGTGTGAAAGTAACGATTTTATGTGTAAAGACTAATTGTAATTTATCAGGAGTTTTATAGACCACAGCCCTAGGCTACCTTGAAATAGAGAAGATGTGGTCTCCACAAGCAAATGAGAGAGACAAACATGCAGACTGACGTCGAATGTGAACCTAAATACCTAGAAGTTCCTCCATCAATTAGCTTTGTAACCAAAATTAGTATGATTGGAGTAAATAATTCTAGTGGTATGGTGGATGAAGGAAGAACACCTGTGTCAGCAAAATGGCAAAATTCATAGCATTAGAGCTGGACTTCAAGAGCTAGGAAGTCTAATGACATCTAAAAAAATGACACTTCTGCAGCCACCAGAAGGACAAACATACAGAAATTAATTTGAATGGATCTCAAACTTGATTTAAATCAACAACTTTCTACCCATGGTGCTGTCTTGATTTTATACAATCAAAATTGTATAAAATCTCCACACATTAAGTAAAAGAATTCCAGCTGGTAGGCATGACCCAGACATTTGTAAGACTTACCGTTAATACAGGCAAACCCATTATGTTTCTAGGTAACAGGGAGAAAAATGCAGCAATTTTTTTTCTTCTTGCTAAGGCACCATCAGTTAAAGCATAAAGTTATTATTATTAATAACAGAACTCAGGTTTACAAAATGAAAGCATAATAAGAAATGTCCGATAGCTGTGGAAGCATGTGTCTTTCTGAAAATGGAAAATCTCAAGAAAGAAAAACAGACACAGCCTGCTTTATCCATCTTAACAAAAGAGCCAAGTTTGAGTTGTTTAAAGTCACAAATTGTGTTAATTTTTGGAGTGCTGTTGGTGCTGGCTACTAGTGGTATCTAAATTATATTCAGGATTGTTTTTACATCTGTAATTATAATTTTTAAAATTCAAGCAGTTAAGTTGATGACTTTCTGTAAAGCCATTTCTGTGTTATAGGTAACAGACATGGTAAACATTTGTTTACAGTGTTTCACAAATAATCCATTTAAGTGAAATCAATAAAAAGGAAATATATATAAATATGTGATTTGGAGATTAAAGTTAGAAATATGTACAGATATGTGATTTGGAGATTAAAGTTGGTCTTAAAATGTAAGTAAAATATATAAAGTGTCCTAAAAATATATTTTTTAAATCATGCACCCAAAAAAGGTACCTGGTCCCCTCCCTCTCCACTGTCTGTTGGCTACATCCTTGGGTTCCAGGTGGCCCTTGAGGGGGGCAGTTCAGGACCGGGGTACCAGTGGCAGGTTACCCACCTACCTCCACATCAGCCATCCCATTCCCTCCTGGACTGTTCTATGTGGGGCCCCTCTCTCTTGTTTTGCTGAACACCACATATGCTCTCTCTTCTGAAAATCCAGCTCAGGGTATTATGCTAAGTGAAATAAGTTAGAGAAAGACAAATACCATATGATTTCACTTACATGTGGAATATAAAAATAAACAAGAAAACAAACAGAAACATTCATGCATGCAGAGAACAAGCTGGAGGCTGCCAGAGAGGAGGGAATGAAGAGATGAGTGAGACAGGTGAAGGGGATCAAAAGCGGCAAACTTCTTGTTATAAAATAAATAAGTGATGGGGATTAGAAGTACAGCATAGAGAATATAGTCTATAATACCGTTGTATCTTTGTATGATGACAGCTGATAACTATACTTATTGTGGTGAGCATTGAGTAATGCGTATAACTGCTGAATTCCTTTGTTATACCTGAAACCAACAGAATACTGCACATCAACTATAATTCAGTTAACAAAACAAATATGGTCATAAATAGAAATTTTAAAAAAAAAACAGCTCATGATTCACAACCTCCATTAAAAAAGCAAAAAGAAAGACCAAAACAAACCACCTGGCTTGCAGGTATCTCCCTCTAATTCTGCATACCCACCACATTGATGCACTTAATGGGATACAGTGCCAAACAGACATCAGATGACTGATACAAGTATTTTCTCTAGGATTGGACCAGGGATAATCTGGGATAACAAAAAGTATAAATATTATCCATAACCTATTTTGGAAAAATTACAGTGAGTAATTCCATTATCCTGAATATAAACACTTCTGCAGAAACAAAGCCTCCCTACCAGAATTTAATCTTCACTCAAAACAAACCATTACCTGTACTTAATGGACAGTAGCAGTTATGATACCATGTAACAGGACTAGTCTGAGGCTTTGGTCTGGAAATTCCATTTGACAGCAGAGCCATGACTACACATCACTGACTCCCCTAATCTAATTAAATGTTCCCAAGGCTATAAATTCTGTGTGTCGTAAGCAAAGCTACCGAATTTCCATCCAGAAATTGTTGCCTCTCCAATTATTCCCATTTCTCCCTAAATTTTTTATTATTGGAGTCTGTCTTTGAGGACTAGTTGAGATGAAATGACCTCTCAAACCAGGTCTGAGGCCCTGGCAGCCCAATGTCTCTCCTGCCCCTCACCCTGCCCTCCACCACCCAGTAGGTTTAATTGTTTTGAGCCGTTTTGTGTCCTCTTTCCTCTTTGATGAGTTCCAGTGTGAACTCATCCTTCTCATGTTGGATGAGGTTAGGGCAGTAGATGGAGGTGACACAAAAACAGGGCAGAATCATTTCAAACAGTAGGAGAGAAGATGTCTGTGGACCTTGAAGAGCCAGCCTCCCTATCAAGGCCACAGTGACTGGAAATCTCTGCTGTATCATTTATACAGATAATATATGTCCCTTAAAGGATGAAGTCAGAGGAAGTATTTCTCAACATTAATTATAATTTTTAAAAATCCCTTTGGAAACGTAGGACATCTCTTTCATCAAAAAAGACTCAAGTCTTAAAAGTGAAAAATACTAAATGTTTTATAGATGGTGGGGGAAAAAACAACTGCAGTGTGCTGAAGAGTATATGAGGCATGGATGTGAGGCAGGACTGGACCATGAGAAGTTCCAAACTTAGTAAGTACATGTGCAGCTGAGAACGACAGAGAAGGATGCCGGGCATTCCAGCAGCCCCCAAACATACTATTACTTGCCACTGAAGGACTATTCCCTAGAGGGAAGCAAGGGTCCTTATAGAAAGAAATATAAATAAGGTGTGTACTAAGAGGGCCATCTCCCCAGTTTCACCAACACAGACTGTCTCTAAGGTACCTGGCAATGGACAAAATGATGGGAGTAAAAAGGGGTGGCAGATGAGACAGGAGCTGTCTTAGTCAGCTCTGGCTGCTAGGAAACATAACCTCAGACTGGGTGCTTAGATAACAAACTTTTACTTCTCATGTTCTGATGGCTGGGAAGTCCAGGATCAAGGTAACAGCATTTGGTGAGGGCCTGCTGCCTGACTTGCAGACAGATGGCTGTCTTCCTGGAGTGTCCTCGTATGGTGGGGAAGGGAGGAAACAGCTCTTTCAGGACTCTTCTATGGGCACGAATGCCACTCATGAGGGCACCACCCCCATGACCTCACCTGATCCCAATTACCTCTCTAAGGCCCCACCTTCTAATACCTGCACACTGGAGGGCAGAGTTTCAACATATGAATGGGAGGGGCGAACGAGGACACGGACACTTCAGTCCATGACAGGAGCCCACAATCAGTAAGAAAAAAACTTTAGACAATCAAGGGTGCAATCCATAGCCTCGGTGCCTCAGCAATAATCTATCATGTACACTGGGAGCACAGATGAGGAAGCAGTTCACCCTGCTTAGGGAAGGAACTCAGAAAAAGACCCATGGAAGGCATGATGCTGCGACTAGATACTGAAGGAAGAACAGAAGTCAACTAAGAAGTGGGAGGGAATTCTTCAAACAAAAGAATGACTCTAAAAATCTCTCTCTCTTAATTTCTTGAGGTGAATAAAAACAACTTATTAATTTAAATCAGAGGTAAACTAGAACTTTAATTAGTGTTGAGATCTCTCCAAAAGTTATCTGTTTTCAGCTTAATCTATTCATGGCATCTACAAAAATCACCCACTAACTCTGCAGAGGTGACAGAATACTTAGCACAGTAACAACACAAGGATGAAACTTATTGGCACAGATTACCTCTGTGCCCACCCAAACCACTAACGTCAATGGAAGGCTTCATTTGCTGCCTCAAGTTTACATTACATTAAGCATTTTTTAATTTTAATATAAATTGATAAAATTCAAGAGCTATGTATCTGCTTTGAATCTAAACCATTTTCAGTAAATCGCTAAATACTTCACAGGAATGAGAGATTTAGGTGATGATTTGTTATTCTTACCTCCATGGGAAAAGCTTTGAAATTAACTGTGTGCTCAGAACCACGCTGGTTTTCTCTCCCCCAGTGAAATCTAACTTCATACAGTTCAAATTCATGCCCTTGAAGCAATGGACCTCCCGATAGAACTAAAAAAAGAAAAGAAATTCTATTTAATTACATATCAAACATATTCTTCAGCACAGCATTATAAATATTGGGGACATGTTTTGCCAGAAAGCTCCCATGAGCTCTGTAGATTAAATTCATACAGCCAAAATGAGAAATTCATCACAATTGTGAGATGAATATACACTATCACCTTGACACAGTAGAAATTAAAAAACTTTGAAATACTGGGTAATAATGTGCATATGTTGACATTTTGGGTTGTGGTATAGAGTAGACAAAGAAAACAAATGCAGTCGCTCTATTCCCTAAGACTTAAACACAGCACTCATGTAGGGACAACAATATGCTTTGAGTCTCAGACTAAAATAGTTTGCTACAGACCTATCAAAAAATTAAACCTTCTCTTCAGATCATCCATTTGTACTAGTATGTATTCCATTTACAGATTTATCCATCTATTAAGCCAATCTGATTTTCAACAATGAAATCACACTTAAAAAGCAATTTACCATTCAGTGTCACATATACACAAACAAAATAAATTGTGATAAAATACTAACAATACTTAAAATATTAACACTGGTTTTAAAGGTTCTGGTCTCTACTTTTCATTTCTGGATAAAACCCAGAACTTTGTCCCAAACAAGAGCATTCTAAAGCAAGATAAAAAATACTTTTGTATTTCTCAAGAACCTGTCTTCAAGCAATAAAATACTTTCTTAAGATAAAGACTCCCTGATAGCATATGGCAAAACTTGAAATAAAGTTTATTACAAATGACCAATTTTGACACAAATAAAGATCATTTGCAGGTCTCCTATAAAAAGTATTTATTCTAAATGGTGTCAGTTAGAATTATAGGTTACTTTTGGTCAGGGAGCTGCCAGAATTCACCCGCTGCCCCCAGCAGGGGTCCCTTGGAAAGAGATTAGCGGCTCCCCTGGAGGGGTGTGTGGAGGAAGAAACAGTGCCCAGGGGAGCAGCTCTCACCTCCACCCTTCCTCTAAAACTCAAAGGAGAAGAAAGAGAACTGGTGCAGTGATATTTACTTACTTGGTTAGTTCTTCTTCGTCTAATAACTTGTTCAAAAACGAACTTAAGGCTGCTTACAACAAGGTACTTGTGATACAGCCAGACCAGGAATTAGAAAAAAGAGCAAAAGGGAAAACACAGGCAGAAAAGAGATAGACGAGATTACTGCACAAACGAATGCCATAAAGTCCTTGCTAAGTAAAGTGCTCTATAAATCTGGTCCTATGCTTTCCACCAACTCAAAGGAAGAAGAAAAAGCATCAGTAGCAAAAGGCGTTTTAGGACATAAACTTCACATCCAGAGGGAAAGGCCTTTAGGATAACATTGTCAGGGATGACTTGAATGTTTTCCTCACACTTGGTCTTATTTTAAGTTTCACAACACAACTGAGGGGTCAAAGATATCATCCCCATAGGCAGGGGAGAAAAATGCGGCTGAGGGGGGCTAAGTGTGACCTGCCCTGGTCACCCAGTCAGCCACTCCAGGAGCCTGGAGCTCTCATCTTCTGACCTGTGTGCCCATGCAAAACACAAATTCCAGCATTCGGGAGCACAAGCTAAAGCATAGAGTGTTCTTGCAGCCTAGATTCCCAAACAGAGGTCCCTCCTTAGTACTACACATCATCCTACTTCCCAGAATGATCCTGAAGAATGCAAATATGCGGTCACCAAGATTTACAGATTATCCAGAAGTGTGGTGCATGCTCACTGCCTCTGCAATAGCCTCCCGCGCGGTAGACTGAAGAGCGTGAACTGTTTTTATTTCAACCAGGGTGCCACAGTCTCTGAATGCCCTCAAGACTCATTCCTTTCCCTTGGCTGTCCCAGCTTGTCTCAGGAAGAATGGGGAAGGAGTTCCAGCATCTACGCACCATGCACACCATCTCCCAAACACCCGTCCCTGTGGGCAGCTACACCTGGACCAGGGGCTCCTGGCAGGGGCTTCTGTAATACCCTACTTTTAAAAGAAGACAAAAATTCTCTTGGAGGAGGCTTGGCTCCACATTGCCAAGGATAAACAAAGAAGGGTATTGTGACATGAAGAGCATGTGAAATAAGAAAGATTAAAAAATCTTTCCCAAAATCTCTTAATCAGGTACACATTTCTGAAACAGTTACAGAAAGTCTCCCAGAACTTTCTTACAGAAAAGGAGGAAACTGATCTTCACAGTGATTTCAGGGTACCAAAAGGAGACTCCTGCTTCCAAAATATACGCCACAAATCATCAATGTCCAGTATTTCTCTAACAGGGATGAAGCCTTAGTTTAAAACTTGGAGATAGAGCTGATATTCTAAATGCCCTGGAAATTTAAACCGCACAGCTCTTTGTCTTCATAGAGACACAACAGGCCCTCGGGGGTCCACTTACTCATACTTTCTACAAATAGTTTTTGATCACCTACATTGTACCAGGCACTGTATTAAGTCTTAAGATACACTGATTTTGACAAAACAGACACAATTCCCTGGCTTGTGGATCCTACATTCTATTAGGATGAAATGTAAATTCAGACATTTATGAAGATCAGACTTCCACTGAGTTATATTTGGTGACTACATGGCAGGTTTGTTAGCTGTGGAGTCACTGCGACCAATAAAATTATAATGAAACAAGATCCACATGGGTCTTACATTCTACTAGGTTGACGATGAACATAAAGAAGGGAAGCATGTTGCTCAGGCCTGGTCCCCGGGGAGAAGTGACAAAGAGGCAGCTTTCAGCCAGGAATCAGGCTCTGGGTACCTTTCACTGTTGCTGCAGATGAAAAATCCAAAGTTAAACCACACAAAAATTGCATGGCTGTGTAAAACCATAAAAATGACAAAATACTGAACTAGAGGTTTTATGAGGTGCCAGGTACAATATTACCTGTTCATCCCTCAAGAATTATTGTGTTTATGAAATAAAAATAAATAGAAGCTCTGTTTTACCCATTTGGCAACATCCTCTTAAGACATTATTCTCCCTTTCTACAGCTTTTTTTTTTAAGAAGGAAACTAGTCATATCAAAAGAAGTACACTTTTTCTGTATTTATGGCTATCCAATTTCGCTAAGTGATATTTTGTCACCAAATGGCAGGTTTATTAGCTGTGCTGTCATTATATTCAATAAAATTACAATGGAACAACATGAAACTCACACCGATGACATGCTGCATTTCCTTAGAATAACAAACTTGTGAAACAAATATAAAATAAACTGATGCCGCACTACTGTCTTCATTTTCTTTAATGGTCTTTGACATGACCATCATACTTATAGACATAAAAGAGCTCCTTTTGGAAGATTCTGCAAAATTTGAGAATACCATAAAGACATTACACACACACACACACACACACACACACACACACACACACATATACATACACACACATTTATCTAAATCTATGTAAGCTTCCAAAATCTTTTGCTTAAAACAAATTTTCCAGATGATCCAAAAGCTATCACAGCTTGTTCCCCTTCATTTCATGTGAGTTTAGCATGCACACTTTGAGGTGGACTTCATACCAGCACTACCCTGACCACTGAGTATATACAAAGAAAGATAGTTTCAGTGCTGGCAAGGCATTCTCAGTGTTTAAGGAATTAAACTTAATAGTTTGAACAGGCTTCACCAGGAGCAGCAAGGGGAAAGTACACCAGGCATTCAGAGGGACCCAGCAAGGACCAAGCCACAATCAAGAGGGTATCAGATATCAGGGAGGACTTTCCAGAGGAGACAACAGCTCAGCAGAGTATTGAAGAGTTCACTAAGAGAAGAAATGAGAAGGTACATTCCAAGCGGAGGGCAGAGGCTGATATGCACCAGCCTGAATGTGTTCCAAAAGAATAGTTAGATGTCACCAATGGCCAAAGGCATTGTGAACATCAGGGGAGGACTTGCAGCCTATGCTAAGGGGCTGGGGTTATCATGGGGGAAATCATGATAGCTTTTAAGCAGGGGACTAAACTTTTGTACTTATGGTATTACTCTTATGTCTGCACAGACAGTGGACCAGCAAAGGGCACCCCTAACCAGCTAGAAAGCTGCTGTCATAGCCCAGGCAAAGCCAGCGAGGCCAGGAGACAGAGCATGCTGGAGCCACACCTCCAGCATGGAGGGAGACCAACACTAATGGTCCCTGACATGTCCCCCAAGGATCCAAAGGCCCGAATAGTTTATTATCAATAGGTTCAAAGATTTTATAACCTCAGGTTAGCTTTTAAGAATCCCAAATGTATTCATATAACATTCCCAAAAGAGTATTCAAAATCTTAAAAGCAAAAATGACTGTTTTTTACTGTCTTTAGCTTTTAATCTACAGCTTTATTTTAAGGAATAAATATCATCAGTTCTTAAGGGTAAAGATAACATCAAAAGAATGGAGAGGAGGCCAGTTAGGTGGGGTCTACATAAGCAAAATGAAGCAGACTACAGCAACTATCCAGGTAGTTCAAATCCCCCAAAGTTAGTAAATAATAAATACAGTCATAAAGAATTCAACCCTGACATTTCACATAAATAAATAACACAGAGCCTCTTCTTACATGAAAATAATTTTAAGATTTTTTTGACAATTTCATCTTTAAACCAGCAAGGTTGCTAGGAAGCATTATAAAAAGTTGTCACGTTTTTGGAAAAAGTATGACTCATAATCATAATAACTTAGCCTATATTTAATATTGAGAATTATAGAAGACCCAGATGTAAAATTTTCTAATTAAGGTTTCTATAATAAGATACAGTGAAGGGCACAAATGACCTGTCCTCATGAGCAATCTCTTGCATACTGATAGCCCATTAAAAATGTCACAGCCTTAGCACACTGCTTGTCATCAGATGGAATGACATTCTATTGCACGAGTATGGCCAGTCTTATACTTTTTCACAACTTAAATGTCAAACCACTCAGGCTAGAAATCTATAGTCATATTTTTGTACTTAAACCACACTTTACACCACTGTGTGTTCAATTTTAATTTGTCTGTGAATACCAAA